ATTTTGCCTTTTCTTTACCTTTAGACTGCCATGATAAGAGCAACCACTGTGATGTTTCCAAGAAAATGTCCATCTTTTGAGCTCGGATGTGTGGAAAGGAGACCAAAGGGTCAAGATGGCAGGGGGGTCCTCCCTGGTAGCAGGAGAAGTGGTGCTTAGGTGGTACTTTCTGGGTAGCAGCTGGCTTTGCTGTGGAAGGAATTTGAGGGGGCTCATTTTTATCCCTTTGCTCATCAGGTTGTCCAGTACCCTTTTTGAGTGTATCTGGATTTGCAGGACATTTTTTTTCATCAGAAGAGCATACAGAACCAAAGGGCTTTGTTACTCAGTTAATTCCAGTTCATAGGTTCCACTTTACAGCAAGTTAGGGTCTGTCTGATGACTGGGATGTGTGTGAAGAAGCTGAAAAAATATTAACATACATAGACGTATTGGTATAGAAATTGAACCTTCAGAGAATTTTATGCAAAGCTAATAGTCTCTTCTGATCACTGCCTATCTCCTCGTTGTTACTACTTTTACTTGTAATTTATCCAAATGGTGACCAGCAGAGTTATAATGGACTTCTGCTTGGGTTGAGTATGTTTGGAAAAATCCAGATAAAATGCTTAGGCTACTTTCTAGATGTATGCTGCCATTTGTTCATATTAAAAAAACCCAACCCAAACCAATTTTTTCCTTCCAATTTTTTCTGGGAGAAAAGGAGTCTGATTTACAGAACTGCTAAGTGCTAAGATCTGAAGTTGAAGTGAATGGGAGCTGTGCCTTCAGTACAGAATGCTAAGTGCTCTAAATACATGGTGCTTAGGCATCTCAGAGTGGATGCCTTGAATTATTAAACACCTTTATCTTGATCTTTTTAGGATTCTCCATTAAAATAGGGATAATAAATTATTACCTTCTCACCTCACTAGGGAAGCATAAAGATGTTTTGGTGCTAATACTGTAAAATTAGTGCTAATGCATTAATATAATGTAATACACAAATGTACATATATTAAGTAAATGTGTTACTATAATACCTCAAATACCATGAAGATGAAAACTATAAGAAAACTCATGAGAAAATTAATAGAAGTCTTCAGAGCAAGTTTGATTCATGTGCAGCAAATCCAGCTCAGGGCCCCTCCCTCAATCACAGTATTGGCTAGCTTCTCTTCAAATGAGTACCATCTTGTCTGTGTCTTAAGTACAGTACCTCCTAACTTGTCACAATGTTAATAATGTTATTCTAGTTCTGTTTCTTGTGTATAGTTTCTAGGTTTTGAATAAGTGATTTGCAAAGATAGGTGTTTCAGCATTGGTATCCTGTAAGTTAAGCCCATGAATGAAACTTTTAGCTCCCCTGTACAGACCTCTGCCAGTTGCATTGAGAGTAGCTGCTGGGCCAAATGGGGGACTCACTGGAAAAATTTCCTTTTCAGGAGGGTGAACACACAGCAATAGCCTTTGCTAGCTGCTGGGAAAGCCCTGTGAAGCCAGGAAGTGGAGAACGCTCAGTGCATAAGGAAACTGCAGGAAATGTGGCTCTTCATCATGGAATCCATTATGTGGACTATGACTTGTCAATGAGCTTTAAACTGGCTAATTTTGGTTGGATTTTATAGGGAACGGTTAATACACACCCTTAACTCAACACCCTGTTGTAAGCAGTCCTTGCTTCAAACATAAATGTTCATGAGCTTTCCAAAGAAAAGGCAGGAATATTTTTTACAATGAATACAAAGAACAGCATTTTTTCCCCATCTTTTTTAATTTGTTGGAAAAGCATACACTATTATGGATGACTTATTAAAAATTTTGTTGCAAAGCAAATGCCCATTATGGAAAACTTCAATTTAGCCAAACAGCTAAGGGCTAGAGTTTGGGAAACTGTAAAGAAAAAATTACAAGGTCTTGCAAGCGTAAGTAATGGGCAGCCTTAGTAATAGGGGATGCTTGCCTATAACATCAAACAAGATTGGAAATAGTATTCGTCCTGCTCCTTCTGCATGATGTTTTTACAGAAAGTGTATTATTTTACAGCAAACTTGATGAATCACTTCTGATTTTGCTGCAACAGAATGAAGGCAGGAACATCATACCCTGAATTCTCTGATAGCTTGGCATATATAACATACATATCAGCCTATTACACTCTCCTTTTGATATTCCACTGGAATTTAACAAATGAAGCAGAGATTAATATTAATGGAAAAGTAGAAATTACCATACATTTGTTCTGTTTTCATCAGGTGTCAGACACTACAGTAACAGATGCCAGTTTAAGAATCTAGTCAGATTTAGATAATTTCCTCGATACTTGATGGCTATAATTAAATTAATTCTGGGAATCTGCACTGAGACTTCTGCCATACTGTGAATGTGGCTTCCTAGCTCCTATTATAGACTTTCAATGTTTTCTCTGCCACCTAGCGTTGTGTGGGGACCAAAATCATGTTAATATTGTGGCTGCAGTGCTGGAGAAGGATATGCGGAGGAAAAGGTCTGCCTGTCTCCAAAAGCCACCCATAATCCTCTCTGTGCTGAACCACATGTTAAATGTCAATAAGCATAGTTGGAAGCATGGGGGCAGCATACCTGGCCAGGCAGGGCAGTAAATTTAAGAAGCCACCACCCTGTGTGGCACCCTGCCTTTGAAAATAGCACACTACTAAATAATGCATGCTGGTGTGCCGGCCAAGTTAGCCTCACCTTGCCCAGACCTGTTGGTACAATGTGCTTTTTTTGTCTGTCTGGAAGTATTCTGGGTCTTAGCAACCAGACCTGTCTCTGCCCTTGGGAGCTGAGACAGAAAAGGCTTACAGCCACACAAACAGAAAGTGACACACCAGTCTAAGTACTGTATTTGAACCACATTTCTGCTGCTTTTGCTGGTGTCCTTTGTAGCAGGAAAAGTCTGATTTCCCTAGCTATGTTGAGGTCCAGTGTTCACATCCTCCTGTGGTGCTTCTGCAGCATATGGATGAGGTGTATTTCAGTGTGACTCTTTAATCTCCCATGTTTAGCTCAGTGGGACAATGTAAGAGGTGGGTTCCTTGTTAAAGATGTCTTTCCTGGGAAGGAAAGTGCTCTTTATTGCTTTCTCATTCTTTGCTTACTTCTTAGCTTTTTCCTTTTCTCGTGCTCTGGATTGCTCATTCATGCTGATATGATGATAAGACATTATTTTCATGATAAAAGCTTTAGTATAGTCACCAGGACATGAACTGGTATTCAAATACTTAGACTCGGTGACATGAATGCTTAGAGAAATCTTATAGGTACTAGACCTACTTATGAAAACTCCAAACAGTTGCCTAACTGTTTTCAGTGACATCCTTAACCCCTGATGTTGTAACTACAAGACAATACTGCTCTCCAAGATGCACATTTACAGCCTTCCTTCTTCCTCAAGGACAACTTTCTTTGATAGGTGAGAATCAAGGTGAGCAGTCACGGAACTTGACTGTAACCTGGGTGAAAAATGATGGGATCTTCCCAAGCAACAGCTGTACACAGGTGCACCTTGTATTTGTGAACAAAAGCAACTCAGGTTTTAATGTAATCGGTGTTTAGTGTGGATGATAGGAACAAAGGTGACATTCTTTGAGTCTGAGATCCACTATTTAGCTTGAAATTGGGTTCAGCATAAATAACACGTATGAAATGTTTCTGCTGCAATGAACCTTGATTAATAATTAATAGTATCTCTGGATGTTGAAGGACAATTCATTCCTCATGGTTGGTAAATCTAGCACTGAGAATACTTGTCAGCATCTGTGAGGAAGGAGATTTATGATGAGCCCTGGAACCAAAACTGAACAAAACCAGGAAAATTCACTTCACAGAGACCTCTGAACAGTCACTGTATAGTAATATTCAGCACTTGTGTTTCATGCATACAAATTAATGAAACCTCACTACCTTCCTATGTTACTACATTTTTAGCTGTTTTCATTTTAAATGCCTTTTCTGACTAATGAAATAATGAAAGACAGATAAGGGTTCATATTTTCATTTAAGCACCTCATTTCCTGCCTCAGGTTCATGGTTGCAAGCTGGAGGGGTAACTTACACATGGTCAAGGAAAACTTTGGACTCACAACTCTTAGAACTGTCTTGCAAGCACAGATGTTCCATGAGGAAACAGCTCTTCCTTGCTCTTCACCACAGGTGACAGCTGAATTGATGACTGAATTAGTGAAAGGCCTCTAATGCAATGCCCAGGCCATGGCTCAGAAGAACAAGCAAAAATATTTTGCCTGACTTCCATGGGCTGTGGAGCAAGTGCCTGAAGAAAAGTTTTAGCTTTCCCCCGCTGATCTTAACCTTCAGAATTAGAAAGGTTAAAAGCAGAGAAATGTAAAACTGAGCACTCATCTGCTGATTTTCTGCTCTGCTAACCTGCATGTAGTTGAGCTTTCATAATCAACCCCATATATATATACATGTTTTTATTTTCTCTCAGATACCCAGAGAAGCTGGAAGACCAAGGGACTCCCCTTTCCGCAGATTCATGCATTTTGCAGGATGCTCAAGGTATGAAAAAAAAGAACTGAGCCCATGGTATTGGCTCGCCCAGTCCCCCTCCCTGCCAGCACAGGGTTATTCCACACCATGCATCTCCTAATATTATTTTTTTCTGCTTTTCATTTCTCCTCATTTTAATTATAATCTCCTTATCTACCTGAAATAACCTTCATTAAAAAAAAAAGGGATGGTCTTAAAAAAACAACTACAAAGAAATCAATCCCTCATCCATTACCAGGTTTTTCTTTTGTTCTGGAGCCACGCGTGTAACCCGGTTAGACCTGTTCTCTTTGAATACTGAGGACTGATCTGGCCTTATGCAAATGGTTGTTGTCGTTGCAGACCCAATCAAACGAACAGGAAGTGACCTAAGAAATTTCCCTATTGGCTGCCTGAGTGTTCAGCAAAATGTTTTAAAATTAATATCACATCCATTTATCTTCACTCCTGGCAGTCTTTAGGAGACATAACCTAGTACCTGTGTTTACCCAATCTGCTGTTCTTTAGACAGTTTTCCCATTGCCTCAGTTAAAGGATTTCCACTCCAGAATCTGCAGCTAAATGAGGTAAGGTGTTTGGGGTATTTTTTTAAAAATATGTTTCCTTTAAATTAACACAAGTGAAAATAAAAAAAAGAGAAAAAGTGTCTACTGGACTCATGCCCACCCTACCGAGCCTCTCCCTTCCCACTTTGGAACAGCAGCTAAGCTCATTTGATCAAAAGGCTTTTTAACATTACAATAAAGACTTCTGTTTTTGTATTTTGAACTTGTATCTTACTTCTGTTTAAATGTTTCAGTTGTGTTTATGTTTGATTGGGGCCAGATCTGCTGCCTTTACTTACTCAGAATGTCATTGACTTTGAATTGAGCCAGTGGCTTCATCAGGATTACTTAAAGTTTCCTGAGGATCCTTTTTATTATGATGTATCTAATAATATTCTGTGTCCTAAATCTGCTGCTTTTGTCCACAGAGTGGTCATCTATTCAGTAAGGCAAGGGGTGAGAAAGTGGACCTTCTCAATACCATTGAGAGTGCTGGTGTCACAGATCTGGGAGATGCTGACAGTATTTCTGTTGCTTTTAGTGGTGAGGATGTTGATTGTGCTGGTAACAAAAAATCCTGAAATACATTTATAATTTGGCTCAGTTTTAACCTCAAGGCAATTTCTTGGCAGTTCCTGTGGTCAGGGGGGTTCTGTCAATCTTAGTCCCTTCTAAGCTACAGCACCGCACTGAACCCAGCTCAAGCACTGGGTCGGTAAATACATTGTGAGTAGAGGCCTGCAGTGTCTTTCCCTGTTTAATTTGTTGCTCTTCCAATGGTAATTTTATTTGAATAGAACCAGAATTGGCCCCTTAAGGTATAGACACCACTGTTTAAGTAATGGTAGAAGTGAATGTAAAGACAAAGTTGCTCAAAATCTGTGTTGATTTTGTAAAATATGTGTAATGGGCTTAGTGATAAATGTTTGCATTTCACCACATGAGATATTTTAGGCACATACTCTTGTGTGCATAGTTATAAAGTTATTGAATTTTATCAGCTTTTGGGTTACTTCACCTAAAAATAATACGTCACCTTTCCTTCTAAAGTACATCCAACTATCCTTTTTTTCCTACTCTGTAGACAATGAAACCAGTGCATAATGACAGAAATGAACCTTGAGGTAAAAGTTTCATTTAGTGATTTTATTTGTGTCACATGGGACTGTGTTAAATATACCTATCTTTCACCAGTATTTCATGTAATTTGTGAAAACTTTAGTGGAATAAAAAAATGCACACCTTTAAGTTTTCTTTTAACAGCAAATTTGCAGGTAGCAATTTAAGCCATTTTTCTGACATCTATTTTGCACTGTGGAAAATACCAGAGCTGGAAAATATAGCAGTTTTATATTTAATGCAAATGCAGAAACCAAAGAAAACAGTTGCAGTTAAAACTAGAAAAAGAACAGGATTAAGGTGTTTAAACAACAAATATCCTAATAAATGACAGTTTAATTCCTGGCCCTTAAATTTTTCAAACCCAGAAGTGATTGTTGTGATAACAACATAGGACTTCCCAGAATTTTTCAGAGTTTAATTAGGTGACTTGAAATAGAGTTTATCATCTAGAAAATGTCTGATCTTGAAAAAAAAGTCCAGAAGTCCAGCAATGGGAAATTCACCAGAACTTTTTAAAGTGCCCCTGCAATTAAATACCATTCCTTGAAAAATATTTAACCTCATTTTCAGTCTGACATGGTCTAGCTTCAACATTCAGCCATCTGATTTTGCTGTCTTTTGATGGTTAGTGTGAAGTTCCCCTGGGTGGCAAATTTCTGTTCCTTGTGTAGGTAGTGGGGGAAGTCCTTCCTTAGCCTAGGCTTTGATAATTGTGGTAGTCCAAGTTCCATAGGCTATTCCCTCCTATGGAAAAACTTATACTGCGGTGAAATCCTCTAGGACCTCAACCTATTCCACTGTAAACTTTTCCATCCTTTCATCACTTCAATGGTCCCCTCTAATTTTTCAACATCTGCTGTGAAATTGGGTATCAGGACTGCACACAGGCTGTAGGAACAGCAGTGCCAAACACAAAGGTAGTATGAATCAATATACTGGGAGTTCAGGGTCAAGGGTTTATAAAGTGTGCCCAAGGCTTTCTTAGAGTCATTGTCTTCCAGACCCCTCCCTTTCTTGCCTTTGAGCATTGGTCCTACATGTGGAGACGAGGTTATCATTAGTAGAGTTGATATTTTTTGTTTTTTTCATTTTTAACTAGTCCTAGTGCAATTTGTAAAGTCTATAAGGATGTTAAAAAAGTACATCTCTCCCATGTAACTGTAGTAAAGGACCTCATATAAGACCAGAAGAATGCTTTGTTTGCCCTGGCACAAATTAGGTAGCCCTTCACAGCAATTTATAGGGTGACTACAATAGATATTACAACAGTCGTGGTGAGATCAGGTGGTCTATTTAACATAGGATATTATTACCCTCTTGTCACCTGAGAGAATATGCTGTGGTATTGCCATAGTAATTCCATATTACTTCAGATATTCTCAGGGTGTTGTGAGTTTTCAGCAGTGGTGGAAACAGACAATAGGACAGTTGAAAAAAGAAAAAATTAAATAATTTGGCTCCCACTGAACTTCCTTAATATTTTTTTCATTCCCAATGAATTTTATTGTTAACATGAGTACTTGTTCTGTCTGGGAGGTGCAAGGAAACAAATTACAATGGAGAGAGATCAAACTAAAAAGAAAAAATAATCCAGAGACACAGATGAAGAGAGATTAGAGAGGAAAAAGGAGGATTTCTGTAGGTGAGTCTGTGTCCAGACAGGACTGACGTGTTAGCCTGTTGCCTATCCCACAGAAATTTGCACCAAAAAACCTTGTGAGGATGAAATTCTACACCTGCTGAAGAAGTGAATATTTATGTACAATTCTCACATAAGAGGATTAATGATTTTATTGCCTCAGTGATCTCAGAGGACTGTCTGTGAGCCATGACACCTTTCCAGAATTGGTGCTTACCTTCCCTCCCTTGTTTACCCCTTACATGCTCTTTATAAACATGTTCTAACCTAGTCTCAGGACCTTCTCCCAGACAAACTTTCCACTGACTGCAGTGTAACCTGGATCTGTTCTGTGGAGTCTAGAGTTATGTGCTTTCTATTGCTCTTTACCTGCTTAGATTCAATTTACACACACGTGTCTGAGCTCTTTCTGCAATGCGATGAATACCATCTCAGAACTGGAGCAATGACCTACCATATGGAGAGACAGGTTGGAAAGTGGGTGCTACAGGACAGACTTGTCTGGCTTAAAAATTGGTCAGTGTGCCGAGACCAAGCTATGGATAGAGATGAATGACCCCTCCTTATTCTGATGGTAATGTGACCACCTTTTATAGGATTTTCTGTGGTCTTACAGTGTTCTCTTTCTCATCAGCCTTCCTACAGTTGGAAAGTAGGTATTCTTGCTGAGGACTAGGAATTCCTGTGGGCATTCCTGTGGCAAGCAGTACATAAAAAGAAAAGGGTCACAAACTTAATTGTCAGTTGTCATTGCTAATGACACATGATGTTAGGATGTGGTAGAACCAAATATAAAGGCTTTGTTGTACATGAGGAAATGAATGTTAATGATTTTTGTAGCTTGCATAGTTTGTGATGTTTAGTGAAGTAAAGTCTCTGCTCAGTCTCACAACTTAGTTACTACTGAACTTTCAAGCATAAACTCACAGACTTTTCTTCCTAATAATAAGTGCCTTGTGAGCACCAGCGAAGTCCAACACCATCTTCAGCAAAGCATGCTGGCTTCAGCTGCTCAGCCAGGCTAGTGTTCAAGGGCACTTCAAGATCTCTAACCACAAAGGTCTGCTTCTCTTTCTCCCTGTTCCTGCCTTCAGCACACTCTGCAGCTTACATGTATTTGGCCCCGATGAACCAAGGATTTATTTCAGTAAGTTTTCAAGAAAAAGGTACATTGCAAACTTGGTAAGGGAGAAATTCATAAGTAACACTGCTGATAGAAAGGGTAAGCAAAGAAGGGTTTGTTCACACAGCTGGTGTATGGAAAAGTAAGGATTAATTTGGTTTCTGTGGAAGTCATCAGGAGTCTTTCTTAGTATGAGAGCTACTTTGAGCTCTACTGGGGATGCGGCCTGCACCAAAACCCTCACTGAATGCCTAAAATACTTGGCACATTTGTCGGTTATTGGTCTATAGACGAGTGAGAATGAGTAAACATGGAGTCATGTAGCCAGTGGAGCAATCAACTGGCATTTGGCATTTTGCATGTCTCCCTCTGAGGAAGAGCCCTTAAAGGTTCCCTTTGCAAAAGCTGACATTGCATGTGGTTATCGTTACCTATTCCTCTGCTGATCTTGTGACATGCTTCACAGGAAAGAGTATGAGAACTAGTAGACAAAACAGCTAGCTGGGGCTGTATAATCACTGGTTATAGGCAAATAAGATGGGGCAATAAAAGAGAATTGCTTTGGAGTGGTAAAAAGAAAGTAATTCTACTTAAAGGATCTGCAAACACATAGAATAAAATAAAAGTTCCTTCCTGTTATGGAGGAAGGATACAGACATAAACACTTGAGATATTTCCTCAGGTCACAATCAGATGTAGCCAGAATAGTCTCCTGAGCCCCTGCCAGTCTGTAAGGGTTAAGCAACTATGTGTAAAAATATGCTCTCTTGTCCAAATTACTAGTGCCATCATCAGAAGAATTGTTTTTTAAAAAACAATTATTTTTTAAACTGCTCTGCATTTTCTTCATCTAGCAGTGAACAGGTAACTAATTTATATTGTTATATCACTAACGAACTCATGTAAAACTGCCCAAGACGCTATGGTCATAGACTAAGTCCATGGTACAATGATTACCCCCAAACTTTCTTAATGATTTTTACTGAAACATGTAATTATTATTACACAACAGTTTAGAAGCTTGCATCTTGGTGATGCACTTTCAAAGTATGCTTGGTTAAGCAATTGTCTCACAGATTGGCATGGCTATGGAGGGGCTTTATCAGGGAGTCAAATCCTGACACATTCAAGGGCACT